ATAATCCATTGCAATTATATTTTTTAAGTTATATTGACTCCAGGCCTTTTGTTTTATTGTTCTGTTTTAAAAATATTAGGTTATGTGTATATATATCTTCTTATATCCCCTGGGAAAGGCCTAAATAAGGTGCACAGTTAGACCTTAAAATCATTGTTGTACCTTTTCATTGTTTGTACCTTGATGAACAAAAAGTGTACCTGCACAGTATCTTCTTTTCTGACGGTGTATTCTTGTAGACCTGATAGCACTGCTGCCGTTTGCGTCCCAATGGTAGAGCTCACCTCCTCACAGCACCAAAGCTGACTCAATTATTTTGCTTTGTGTTGTTAACAGCATTAGCAGACTCTGGAATTGAAAGCCACTCTAACACGCTTGTATAGTCTGGGCTGTGTATAGATGGATCAGCGTTGTCCATTGTGTCCAGAAAGTATAAAAGTTTTGCGAGGAGATGAATAATGCAGCCGTTCGAACAAAACTTTACAGCTTCCTTATTTTTATTCAGAGCAGCTGCCAAAACAATAAGTCTATCGAACGATGTCTGGCCTGTTTAGGAACTGTAGCAGCAACCTTTTTCGTGAAGTTGAACTCCACCACTTGTGGACCCTTTTCACAAGAAAAAAAAAAGTCATTTGTAATTTTGTATCTTAGTAAAAAGATTGAGTGTGGTTTTGATAGAGCCAGTGAGTAATGAGAGTTCTCCTGCCGATGGGCTCCACACACCCCTCCTTTCTTTTGCCTGCTATTGATTGGGAGGAAATTGACATGCGGTTTGTCAGCATTTGCCAGTTTAGGATTTTTATATTACTGTTTGGCCTGCAAATGAAAGGAGCACTCGAGCGTGACGGACATTTTTAATGAGAGTGGTAAAATAACTGGGCTCTGAGGAAGAGGGAGCTGATAAACAGTCTTTTGTTTGGCTTTACTGAAGCAGAGCCTGAAACTCCTCCGCTACCTCTGCTCTGAATTAGAGCTTTTTGGGCGCGCGTTTGTCCGCCGTCTTCTGATTTCCGTGGCCACTTGAATAGGCCAGTAGAGAAAGGGTAAGGATTAGCAAGACCTTCCCTTAAGTGATATTAATGTCTCATGGTCACTTTCCAGTGAACATTGTAAAAAGCAGTGAAAGTGTTTGGTAGACATGACTGCCTGGGACATTAGCATTCTCTCCAGCAATATCCTCCTACCTCCGATCCCCCCCTTGCCCAAACTATACCCCCCTTGCCTTGTTATAGATTGTGACCGCCGGTAAGCGATGCATTATTCATACCGGCAGTGTCGTCTGTTGATGGATGGCTGTTTGAGAGGCCTGTCCGTTAAATAAATCAACAAATAAAAATGCAAATTCTCACATTTCGAGAGGGAGCATGGCCAAAGTCCCACCCTATCAACCATCCCCGTTTTCTTTCAGTACTCACTTATACAGTCTCTCTCTCCATTTTTCCATGAATGTCTGAAAGAATGTTGGTTTTATGTTGTTATCCTAACCTCAGCAATCCATTCATAGAAAAAAGGAAAGTGCATATGTGGTTATTGAATAGATATGGTTATCATACATGTGTCAACCTATCTTTTTCATCTATGTGAAAAGGAGTGAACGTATATATACGTGTTTCTGAGATCGGTCCCGACACATGCTTTTGTGATTTTTACATGTGTTTAAATTAGCTTGCAGACTTTCTTTATGTTGGTCTTTTATGGCCTTTTTATGTTAAAGATGTGGGGCACAGTACGTTTATGTGCAGAAGACATCGAGTTCATGATTAATCAGTTGTTATCATTACATGAGTCAGTGGCTCTTGGGGGGGGAAACAAAAAGAAAAGATGCATTGACTTGGAGTGAGGTACTTGAAACCTCTTGTAAAAAGACACAATATCTAATGGAAGAAAGAAGCAAACAAAAAAATTGCCTATGTGTCTCACAAAGCAGGACTTTTGGCTTAGTCAACTAACATTAAACTTTGTTTGATTTTGGATTTTCTGTCTCACAATGGTGGGTCAACTTACTGGGCTACATCACCGTAGAAACTTATTCTGCATGTCTAATCTCCGGGTCAGGTTAACTTCAAGACCAACCAGGGCAGATCTTTTGATGGAGGTGGACCCCTCTGGTTATTTTTCAGCTCACTTTTTAAATTTATTTCTTTATATTTTGTGATGTTTGTAATGTCAGGTGCATGAAACATATCACTGTTCAGCAGAGGAAGCAAATTATACAGCAAGAATATAAAGCAAGTATTACTCCAGTGAGCACTCACACAGTACCAGTGCTGACTGTGTTGTTTTCTACCACTATAAAGGCTTTACTTTCTACATATTTGTGTAATATGATTTCTTCTCACTCTTTGGAAAATACAAACTGCTTGCCGACTACATGTTTCATGCAATTGGCTGTTCATTATAAACGGCACATGCACATCATGTGCGCAGGCAAGTGGATTTTGAGTATCTAAACCTGGGTTAACGGAGAAAGATGTTTCTCATAAAACAAGATTGCATTTGGTAGATTGTGCGAAGATGAAACTCTGTTAGGCACCCTGTTTAAGTTACTTAAAGCCACACTACGTAAGTTTTGGACATTTGGAGACCTCCCTGGCGAGCATGTGTAATTACACACAACATATCGAAGAACATTTTGTAATGTCATTTGTGCTTCGGGCCCCTTCCCCGAGTTTCGTTCCCTTAATTTACAAAAGAAAAAAAAAAGGTCATGAGCTAGAAGTTAGAGGACCATCCCTGTGACCGGAAGGTCGCTGTTTCGATCCCCTGAGCTGACAGTACGTGACTGAAGTGCCCTTGAGCAAGGCACCTAACCCCCAACTGCTCCCCAGGTGCCGTGGTTAGGGCTGTCCATCGCCCTGGGCAAGTGTGCTCACTGCTCCCTAGTGTGTGTGCATTCACTAGTGTGTATGTGGGTGTTTCACTGCACGGATGGGTTAAAATGCAGAGGTGAAATTTCCCCATTGTGGGACTAATAAGAGTAACTTAACATATATGGTCACCAGAGAAGTGAACGCAGTGCACGATTTTCAAGCTGCCATTCAGTAAATGTCAAACCGTCTATATGATGCTCTGCTCAAACAAGTGTAGGTGATAAAGACTAATGTCCAAAAGAGCAGAAGTCGAGAACCTGTTCTGTGGTGTTTGGAACTGTAATGTTTTAGCTAAGCTAAGCTAAGGTCAGCTTAGCAGGCCAGATGTGCCACACACCACAGCTTGGTTCCTGCTAACTGATGCTAAAATGACACCCACTTAGAGGATATCTTGGAGCGTAAAGTCAAGTGATTGGTGTTTTAAGCAAACATGTTTTGTAGTCGCTGAGCTGTTGTCAAGTCATTCAGGGTTTTCTGAGGAGTTTTTTTCTGGTTCTGATTTTTCCCACCTTTCTATCATCAACACCTGTCGGTGAGCTTCCACACCACAAATCAGGGAGCCCCTCTAAAATTCGAATGGGAATGTGTTCATTTAGCCGGTCAGATGTGGAATAGAAATTTGATGCTTCATAATTTTGAAATAGCTTTATAATTACTGACATAATTAACCTTATCCTGCCCAACCCTAACACTCAGTCAAAACTTGGTGATGGACTTATGAGGATCTCAGTGATATTATGTACAATTGTCTTAATGTCTTTGTCAGTGTAGTATTGATTTTGCACCTTTCTTTTGTGCGTGTGACATTAATACGTAGAGATGTATGACAGGGTCCAAAAAACTCCTGCAAAATCTGACTCGACACCTTTGACTTAAATTAAGTCAAAATTATTAATTAATTAATACTTTTAGATGATTGAAATTCTTAACTTTAAAAATGTATTATTTTAACTGGCTTTAGAGAGAACAGCAGCAGCAGCACACAGACTCTGTATTTTAGCAATTTTATCCTTCTGACTCAGTAATGCTACTAATAGTAATTCTTTCAATTTTAACAAAACATCTTACATAGTGCAGCTTTAAGCATTTAGACATAATCAGATCTTTCTAAAGGATATTAAGGTGCAGCACAATTTCATGGAGGAATTGAATAAAGCAGTTCTGATGTGGCTGGATACACTATTTGCGACAGAAGGTGGAATGACTCAACAGTGGAGCCCACCTTGTCTCGATGCTTATTTAATTCCTTAGGTGTAAATGACAGACTTGCATAACAAAGTCTGATTTTAAGTGACGATGAATGCCAAGGTGACACTATTTCATGAAAAAATGCAGCTGTGTCTGGTTTACAGTTCGGTCCAAACTGAAGCCAATAAAAGTATTTGATTTATATTTGATGTGCACATTTGCTACTCTGTTATTAATGTAATGCATTTAGTGTATATGTGAAAAACGTGAACAGGTTTATTGGTGTACATAAAAATTCAGTGTATTATTGGCTGCTTAAAAATATATACAATTCACATCAAATCTATACATGCTATTACCACCAGTACTAGCGCTGATGTGTGAGGCATCACAAGAGATGATGTCTCTTTTCGATTCACTTAGGAGCTTGTTTTGTGCACATCCACACCCACTGATGCGCATATGCAAATTAATGCTGTTAAAACACACAGAGCATTATGTTAACAAAATCAGAAGAGTGTTTTCTAATAATTCGAGCTCTGTATTTGAAATATACTCATCTGATTCTGCTCCTGTTGAATTATTTATCAAACCCTCAAACTGAGGGGTGGGATCTCTGTTATCTTAAGCTTTGTTTATTTATTCTGTCTTGCCTCTTTTCCTTCCAATGAAGGGAAAACCTCATTGACGTGCTTTCTGAATGCGCTCCTGATTCCTTTGTCAACCCATGCCAGACTTTATTGTTTGTTTAGATGTAATAGAACTGTAAAATATGCAGTTTTTATATAACTGTAAAATATACAGTAAATTTAATAAAATACACACATTCTGGAATGCTGAGCTTTGTAGTGCTAATGGATAATGGCACATAATCATTTTTTCCCTTGTGAAGCCTGATGTCGTTGAACACTTTTGCTGACTCATTTTCCTTTTCTCTTGCAGGTTGGACTCGTCTTTGATCGAGCTATTGGACATCTTCAGCCCTGTTGCTAACCCAGGCAGAAGCAGGGTCAGCCCCATTGTCCACAGGAATTTCGCTGGTGCTCGGCAGCCTCTCAGTGCCATCCGCCCCCCTCACAGGTCCCTGCTTTCTCCCCCAGGCCAAGCCCAGCCATCACAGCAAGACTTGGAGGAGAGTCAGATTCTGGAAGACATTTTCTTCATCTGCTGAAAGGAGAGCACAGTGACTCACCACGACTTTGACGAGAGCTCAGTAAGGCTGTTAATTCTGTACGTGCAGCTGAGTCCTTGCTTTGTAGCTCGCCACAGGGCACAAACACGCCTCAGTGCTTTCTAATCATTCCTGTGCTTCTGATGCCTCTTTCTATCGTTGGTCTTAAATTGCTTTTTTGATGCCTTTGTAAGTGTCTTAATTTTAAGCTTATGCCAAAGTAATCATGGCTTTTGTGAGTTTACTACTCATTTTTGTACGGTTGACATGTTTTTTTTATTTTGTCTAATGCTAATAAAGATGTATTTATTAATAATTCTCCATCGTAATTTCGTTTCTGTGGTCCAAGGTAAGTGTGCGAATGTTTATGCAGTTATCTGAAAATAAGATTTAACAGAGGAAAATACATTTGCATAAACATGCACTTTGAATCTTGGACGTACTGGTGTAGTACTGTAGTACTGTAAGATGAATCATTAAGGCTGGCCCAAATAATTCAAATACTGGAGTGTTCATTCATTACACTGGCTTTCAATTCTATATTTAGAGTGTGGAAACGTTGTCTTTTTTTCAAGCTACAAAAAGCTTGCCTTATAAAATAACTCAATAAAATAAATAAGCTAATTAAAACTGTGATGGTGATAAATAAAACAATAATACTAATTTATACCCTTAGTGTCTGTATTTGAACGAGAAGGCTACACTCCGAACTTCAATAGCAACACACAGGGTGTGAGTAGCTGGTCTTGAGCCAGACTAACACATTATTGCGCCCTAATGGGTATAATACGAGTAATTAATGGTGATGTTGGGAAGTTCAAGTACTTCTCATTTGTTTGGTCCAGTTTTCTGTTTGGTCCAGCCCTACAAGTCAGCATTATGTCACAGTACAGATAATGTACTGCATTGGTACAACAGGATTTTGTGCTAATCCTGAAAGTTACTTAAAATGATGGCTGCGCTGTCTGCAATGTTCTGTGGTATTCAATAAATTCAGTAATTTGTATGTTTGAAAAATAGTAAAGCCTTTCAAATACCCAACACTTTTATAAGACACACAGTTCTATGAGGAAACAACCGTCTATCAGGTTGAATGCTAACTTGGCACCAGTAGCACACAGTTGTATCCTCCGCACACCAGACTCTTTAGAGAGAGGCACAACTTATGAGTCTCCATTCCACAACTTGCCTGATTTGGAGCAACAGTTGAGGTTTTAACTTCAGGTCTTGTTCAAATAAGTTTTCTACTGCTCCAGATTGCGAGCTAGATAGCATGCTCCTCATTACGTTTATTTACAACAATAATAATTTCTGAGCGTGCGAAGGCTAGAGAGCATTATGTTAGCCGAAGGAAACTCATTCTGACTGCACTGGGCATTAGCAACGGGAAAAAGCTTAAACCTAATTCGTTATATATTTGAATATGCTTGACACTGCAGCCTAACACACAAGTTCTTACCATTATTTCCAGTGTTTGGTTCAGTCTCCACTCAACAGTATAGCCAAACTTGATGTTTACAAACATTCTGATTCGGGCTTTTAGGATAAATGAGTCAGTTGGTGAGTATTAAGTTTTATAGTATAGCTATTATAGTATAACTATAGTTATAGTAATAAAGTATGGTGCCACTTTACAATACTAATAAAAGGTTTGAAATTAGTTCATTAGTTATTAGGTCATAAATACATTCAAAATCATTAATAAACTGTTATAACACATCTGATGATGGTGTCAGGTTAAATGCTGACTGATGGAGAAGACAAAGTAAGATGAGTAACTGGCAAGATCTGAGGTAGAGATGAATGTGGGTTCATAATTTGGCAAGCAACAGATCACTGTTTTTATTTGTGTTGTAACTGCTTATTAATGAATTTTAAGGTGTTTGTGATCTAACTAATAACCATTAATAAACAAATTTTAAATCATTCATGAATGCTTTATGAGGATAGTCTTATTGCAAAGTGGCACCAAGTATGGCACCACTTTACAATAAGGCTCTTTTACAAAGGGCTTATAAAAGGTTTGAAATGTATTTAGTTATTAGGTCATAAACACATTCAAAATCATTAATAAGCAGTTATAACACATTTTATCTAACAAACATGAACATCTGATGATGGTGTCCGGTTAAATGCTGACTGATGGAGAAGGCAAAGTAAGATAAGTAACTAGCAGCTAGTATCTGAAGTAGAGATGAATGTAGGTTCAGTATTTGGCAAGTGACAGGTCACTATTTCCCTTTTTATTTGTGTTTTTTATATATATATATATATATATAATTTGAAGTTATTAACTTAATAAAAGTTTTTGAAGTTATTGAAGTTATTAACTTAATAAAATCATTCATGAATGTTTATAAGGGGTGTCCTATTGTAAAGTGGCACCTAAAGTAATAATAATTATGTACTGGCAAATTCCCTACTTGTTTTCAGAAATAGTTACATTTTAAACTAATATCTGTCATAACTAACCAAAAACGTCACCCCATTTGTTGTCATTTCTGAAGCTTGTTAGAAGTCAGGCTTTTTCAAGAACATAAAAATGGTACATTTCTTTAAACTAATCACTTGCCTTCATAACTCAGCTGGGTGCAACGTTCACATATGAAAAGTTCAAACTGTGTTCCCAGCTTGTGTGGTGGATAAACCCTAGCTTTAGAGGGCCATTTGAGCCTTTTGTTGAATTTGATCATAAGCTTAGTGAAGATTCTGTGATGCAGCCCAACACAAATTGCTCTTGTGCAGTCCCTTCATTTGAAGTGGCTTCTGTCTACATCAGTAGAGCCACCAACCCATGAAAAGAACTAGAGATAAAACAACACATAAAAAGGCTTGTATAAAGACACAGCAGGAAATCGGGGAGGCATAACGCTGGTTTATTCTAGACTGTGCTTTATTATCGGGCTAAGCTGAGACGCATCATTCAGTAAAATTACAAAACGAGAGTCCAGGGAGCAGAGAAATGCGCAGTTCAGAGGTACAGGGCAGGAGCAGTTAAAGCACTCCAACTGCTAATAGCTCTCTCTCATTGTGATCGACTTGGCAATAATCCACAACATGACACCCAGCACCCTCGACTGTGCTCAAAACGTCTAAAATATTGTTCCTTTTTTTTTCCTTTTCTTATTTTCCCCCCATGTTTTAGAACTGTGTACTCCTCCTGTTGCTACTCCCTTGTACTTCAGACCGTTGTTTGGATATAGTTATAAATCTGATGAGGAATGGCCCTGCAGTCTGAGCGGCTGAGATGACGGATGGATTAGTGCAGTTTTTTGTTTTGTTTGTTTTTCCAGTGAAATTACGCATGTGAGAAAAGCCTAAAGCAGATCTCGGAACAGCGGGATGATCAGAACAGTAGACGGTTCGAACAGCAGAAATGCAACATCTATCGTAAGCATGTTCTACATTCTCAAGAAGAGATTGGTTGTAGACCCTGACTCTGCCAATAGCATTGTTCCATTGTGTCCCACAATATAAAACATGTAAAAAAATAGATATTTAAAAATGGCTTCATTTGAAATGACAAACACATACTCTATGGTTCATAACTAACCACAAAAAAATGAAAATAAAAACATGGGCAAAACTTTGAGATACATTGCAAAAAAAAAAAGAAAAATCCAACAAATTTCCGTCAAATAAATAAATGAATAAATAGACAAATAAATAAACATGTTGGCAGCACTTCAGATTATGATGCATGTTCTTTTGTTTATCAATTGAATTCGATGCCCCCCTTGACTTCTTTACTCGCTAACCATGCTAATGACTACTACTGTTCACCTGGTTTAGTTTCATCACCAGATTGTGTTTTTTTTTCTTAACCCTTTTTTTCATTAACTCAAAATGTAAAGTTTCATAATCATCCAGTCCTTGTAGATAGAAGTAAAAGTCCTATAAAATATGCAAACCTATATACAGAGGCAAAAATAAGAAGAAAGGAATAAAGGAGAAGAGAAAAAAAGAACAATTTACAGTATATTCATTAGTTTCTGTATATATTTATATATATAATAAAACCTCTTCTCTGTTTCTTGGTAGTTATCAACCATACATTTTCAGATCATGTAAACAATTGTAGCTGAAACGTCGCATGGGTGCGGATAACGAAGGCGAAACGTCGCACGGACGGGAGAAGACAGCTAGGACAGGGCGAGAGGGACGAGGACGGACTAGTCTGCAGGAACGTGAGACGCAATGAGAGAAGACGTGCAGAGATGAGGCAAGGTAGGCTATGTGTTGAGTTCTAGCGAGCTTTCTTGGCGTACCTGAATGAGCATGTGTCGGAGAGGTCTGGAATGTGGAATGCAACATTCTTGGAGACTGTCTGCAGGAGTTCTGGAGTCCCTTCCGAAAATGAAGCGTGTTCGGTTACTCTATTGCCACTGTACAGACACTTTACCGGAGCCGTAAAGTGATTTCAACCGGTTCCCAGATTACTATTTACAATATCGTCATCTGTATAGTACAGCAGTTCAATGCAAAGCATGAAAATCATAAAGGCTTCGTATCTTCTAATTAGCAATAATCTAGAAATTCAAAACTCAAACCCCCGACCTTAGCCCTAGTACCAAGCAAAAACTATCCTAGCAAAATACATTTGAGCTCTTCGAGCAGCACTTGTAAACACACTGTAGATGTAGATTCAAACGATACCTTTGCAAAACATGTACATAATGCCCACTTAATTGTAACCCTAAGCGAAATGTCCCTCGGGTCGAGAGCGGGTACGCTGGAGCAGATGGCGGACGTGTCGGCTTTACAGATGTTCCGCGCGTGTTGACGGATATTTTGAAGGCTTACTTGCAGTAGCTGTAAGGTTCGAGAAAGAGCGGTGCCTCTGCGAGTTTGACATCATCATAATGAATGGCGGCTAGCGGTGTTCAGAGCACAGTGCTAATGTCTGCCGCGCAGGCGCGCCTGAGCCTGCGAACGACGACCCAACGCTACATGCAACTAACCCAGGAGAGCGAAAGCGCCCAAGTTAAAAGCCGGCTGTCAGCACTGTGTATATATTCATGTGGGTTTGTAATATCGTACAGAAGGTGTGCATGTTTGCAGAGTACACCGGAAGAAGACGGAGAGGCAAATACGTCGACTTCTGTCTTATCTCCTGTGGAAATGGTCCTGATTCTTCTTTAAGCTCTCGGATGAGAGGAGGCCTTTTTGCATTTTTCAGTAGCATATTTATGCACATACGTATGTATATATATATACATCTGTTGATAGTCACACGCCTTTGCTGCGTGCGTAGGTCTGAGTGTGCGTGTAAATATGTGTATATATGTGTGTGTTGGCATACATGTTGTTTTTTTTTTTCTTTCAGAAAGAGGAATGCCTGCAGTTTCGGGAGCTGCCAGATATGAGACTTTTTCCCCAAGTCCAAGCAGAGCAGTGAGTTCAAACTCCAGCTAAAATCTACAAAAAAATTACAGTTTCTACGTATTGAATAGCTGGTTCTATATATACACACATATAAAATATATGCATATAAATACATATATGAGTTTGGGATTAATATTGTATGTATCCATATATATACACGCCGGGCACATATATGAATACATATTCTTCCAATGTTTTGCAATACATATACATATTATTATATGTACGGTAAATATAAACAGGTTTGTATAGCTCGTGGTTCTTTCTTAACTACAAGGTCGGGATGTCCAGATAGAAAAGGTAAGGCTGCGATACGGGACAACCCTTCCGCCCCCCATGCACCCTTCATCCTACTGCGGACAGAAACAAGAAGAGGAAAGAAAAATAAACTTTTTTGTTTTTGTTTTTTTTCTTTTTCACCTCGAATAATTGTAAACTAGCGAAGTGAGCGACCCTCCGTGGGCCGTCTGAAATAGTTTTGCCAGTATTCAAAAGCATATCAGCAATCTATATGTATGCATTTATACATATATTCATATATATTCTACTTATACATATCTGTTTTTGTTTTTTTTTCTTTTCTTTTCGTAAATACAGCTCTTTTAAACCGATTGGCACAGCAAAAGAGATGCAGTGGTCTGAGTATGTTACAGCTACGAGTCTCTGTTCATTTTTTTTGTCGTTATCATTAAAAAGGTTTGGTCTTTTGGTCCCTACACAACTAAGGAATGACAGATAAGCCTCCCAGGGGGACTGCAGCTGCGGCTCTTTGTGGCAGCTGTCCCCCCCGGAAACGGACAGGCACTCCGAGTTAAAGATGGCCATCCCGCAACCACAGCAAGCTTTGTGTCCTGAAGTGTCACATCCTTCCAAAAGTTTTCTCTCTTCCAAAAAGTTTGTTGTTGGTGGTTTTTAATCTCTAAAACAGTTTCTTTTAAAAAGTTTCCTCAAAGACAAGTCCCTTATTACATAATCCCCCCACCCCTAAAAGTTCTTGATTTCAAAAGTGTTTTTTTTTATTCTCTTTAATGCCTTGTTCTTGGAGTCAGTTTCTTCTGAGGCTCTTCCAAAGGGCTTACATTGTTCTTTTTCTTTTTTTTTTTTAGTTGTAGATACTTTGTTGTTCTTGTTTTTTTCCTGTATGATCTTCCATGTGGTTCTATATGAGAAGGGCTCCTATGATCAGGCAGGCTGCGGAGACTCAGAGAGGGAGTCCGATATGGTTGCGGAACGCGGCGGCTCTCCTGAGTGTCCGCTGAGGTCCTAAAGGTCCACTGAGCTTTGCGGTGGTGGTGGTGTGTCAAGCGCCCGTGGCCTCCTCACATGTCCGACACACTTATCACTGCGCGTCCGACCCAGCCGCGCCGCCCCCTTTGTCCTTTTGAGTTTCTTTTGTGTTTCGTTAACGTTACTCATGTTGTCAGCATGTGTTCCAACTCTACAAAACCTACAAAAGGAAACATAAAAGCAGTGTAAATCGATCACGCGTTTTTCGATGCCTGGAAGATGAGGAACTTTTAAGATGCTGTGGTTATTGAGCAGAACAGACAGAGGCAGTTTGATAAGTCGGGCCTTTTAGGCGCTGTTGCGAGAGCCATACTGTGAGGTCTATTGCAGCGCTGCAGCAGAACACAGCCTGGGATGCCTCACTAGCTGTGTAAGTAGGTAATAACTCGGCCCAGTTAAAGGCATCAGCAGGGTAAATTAATGACACAGCATTGATTCTCCATCATCATTTAGATGAGGGTTTGAGAGACAGGGAGAGAAAGAGAGCGAGATAGATACATGTGCACCACAGAGAGGAGTAATCTTATTCCCATCACTGCACTAGAGAGAACATTATCAGAGAAAGGAAGAAGTGCTTCACACACTGCTGCCTTCTTACTAGCTTATTTCATGTTATATACCACATATAATAGCTTGAATTATAGATTTCTTATGCATTACTTGTCAAGTAACTTATTTCTTGTTAGATCCTATATATCGTCACTGTTGTAGCAAAACCTTGCATTTCTAATATGGTAACTTGGGAAACAAATTTGGACTGTTTCTATTCGTCCATTCATACAGAATGTGTGCACAGTGTAAAAGGCTAGGTGCTGTTTTTAAATGGTGTACAAACATGAAAACTGCACAAAAGAGGCTTATAAATCACTTCTAAAGTAAATTATTTTGTTTGATACTTATTTACTCTATATAACAGTTTGAATTATAGAAATAGACTTCTCAAGTGGCTCAAACATTACTTCTCAAGTAACGTATTTCATGTTATATACTACATATAACAGTTTGAATTATAGATTTCTTATGCATAACTTCTCGAGTAGCTTTTTTCATGTTAGATGCTATATATCGTCACTTGTGTTCCCAAAATGGTAACATTATAAAAGAAGGAAAAAAACTTTCTTAAGTTGGGACCATTTCTATTGGTCCATTCATCAACAAGGCCTGATTATAAAACTGCAAACTTTCATGTTAGCTGGCTGAGTGGTAACTCACTCGCTATAGTGATGCTGATGCAGCTTCAATGGCAGCGCAATGTCTGGTTTAACACTTGTTCTTTTGGAAGTACTCTTTTATAGATTATTTATGCCCTCTTTCACTCATTAACTGAGATCTTACACATCTCCTCTTTGTCTTCAGTTTGAAAAATGAGTAACAATTCACTCTTCCAGTAATCTTTTGGCAAATTAAGCAAGTTTTCAGATTTACAAATATGATACAACATATTGTAACGTTTTTCAAAGGTATCCTGGGCATAGTAACAGTTATGAAGGACCAACTGGGTGAACCTTGCTACAGCGCCACCCTGAGAAGAGCAGTGCTGCAGCTCTAGTTAGTTAAGAGTACCAAAGACAGAATCATGCCAGTTGTGGGTGAAGCAGGTTAACAATGACCTTCTCTAAATTTTGAGACATTCAGGGGGCCAAGAGGGGTCCCCCCAGGACCCCTGTATTTCATACCTTGAGTATATCACCTCTACTTTCCTGCAGAGTTTAGTTTCATTTTACATTCTGCTTCTCCCTTAACTAAAACTATTGCATCTGATCCAGCCTATATAAGATTTTTGAAGAGGTTATTTAGCAGGTGTGGCAGATTGCAGATGGAATTATATTCAAAAGGAAAGTCAATCTCCTAGACCAGGGTTGGTAACCACATATTTATATGATATATACTGTTAACTCTGTGATTGAAGCCTCTTATTGTTGTTCATGCAGCTTGTGTATTCTGGTTACAGTGTAGGGTCTTGAGGGGAACAGTGTAGGGTCTTGAGGGAGCTTTCCACTTTCTGTTGTTGCTTTTGTTAATTTGCTGCTTGTTCATTTATCCATAGGTTTCCTGTGAGCACCGTTTAACGTAGTATGCTGAAGGTGCTGAAGGTGCCACCTTAAAAGCTGTATTTGAATGTGAGGGCTAAAGTTGTAGATTCTATCATAGCAACATACAGTGCTCGAACAACTGGGCTTCAGCCTGTGCTACTACAGACAGCTCAAAGGGTTAAACTAGGCTAATACATTAACGCCATAAAAAGTAGCACATAATTTATCGTATTAACATGTCATTCATGTGTTAACTTTGACAGCCCTAATTGTATATAATACTTAATATATTAACATAAACAAAACCTCCAAAATGGAATTTATTTTGGGCCATTTCTTTTGGCCCATTCATCATGAAATTTACCACAATGTAAAGGGCAACATGTATTTTCAAATTATGCCAAAAACTTAAAAATGACAAAAATCGAGATACAAGGTTTTGTCCTGACAGCACCGACATATTTTTATAAATGAATATTATTATTACTGGCATGCATGCGAAATGTGAAATGTGTTACAGTAATGTGTGCCACTGCTGCCCTGTTATGTATCTGTAGTAGAGGCATAAGGACATATGGTCTTCTCTCTGACCTGTTGTTCCCTGTGTGCTGCAGTGGCCTTCACCCCCAGGGTGAGGGTCATGTGGGGGCGGGGCTAATATGGGCGGTTGGCATCCTTTGGCCTCTTGAGCTGCACTTTGAGTCTCTTCATGCCGATCTGGAAGCCATTCATGGACTGGATGGCAGCCTGAGCACTGCCTGGGTTATCGAAGCTCACAAAGCCTGCAGATGAGTAGGAAGAAGGGGAGGGTGGACGGAGGGATGGAGACAAAGGACAACAGGTTAGCACCCGGAGAACCAGAGGAGAGGGCAAGAGAATGGAATGACACACAAGAATGTTGAGTTCACATGATTGAAATGATTAGGATAAACAACGACAGGAACAAATGACAAACAGTGGAGAAAAGAAGGCGAGAAAACAGAGAGAAGACGGTTTATATGATGAGCCATCACATCCATGACATAGCAAGAGGGTGAAGAGGTGAAACAGAGAGAAGTGTCAAACACAAAGTAACTTGAGTCACATGACCTCAGGAGAAACATATTCAACATTTAACAGCTATGCACAAAATCAATCCATACAGCACAACAGCGTACACAATCATATCAATATCCAACAACACAGCAACATGCAACCCTGCAAACCATGTATTCAGGTAACCCTCTGCTGCTCTAAATCTCTTTCCACACCAGTGTATCATACAGGGCTTTTACAAAACGGGTGACATAATATTTATGTCTAACTTTAGTGATTACATATTCATATGGCCTTCTTCGTTACTTTTATGTGATAGCTTTGTTCAGAACGTCCTCATTTGTTGCAGTATGAGTTTCAGAGGTGGATAAAACTAAGAACAAATCAATAATAAATAAATTTTGAAGGGCGTACTTCAAAGAAACTTGGCATGGTTAAGAGCTGTGCAGTGCATCTCTGCTCTGAAAGTAGGAACACAGTCAGGAAACTAATGGATTTACAGAGATTGCAGCTTTAGTAAAAGCACACACACGTTGACAAGGTCAGAGAAAACGGGCTCATTCTAAGAGCTGAGTGGATATTTGGTGGGAAATTTGGGTTGTAAGTGGTGGGGTTGAGATTTTAAGTTTAAGGGTTTAGGAGGGTTGGTGTAGGTATTTGGGTGAGAATTTGGGGTTGAGGGTTTTGTGATTATGGTTGGAATGGAGTTTGGAGGTCTAAGGATTGGGTTTGGGACTAAAATAACATTTGGTTTGTGGGTGGGAATTGGTGCCGGAATGGGAATTTTGGTTGGGGTATGAATGTGGGGATTGGTATTAGGATTTGACTTGGGGTTTGGGGATTCGTGTTAGTGTTTGATTGGGTGTTAGGGTTTAGGACTGGGTTTTGGGGTCAGAGGTTGGGAGACTGGGTTTAGGAGATTGGGATTGAGATTAGGGTTGGGATTGGTGGTAGGGTTTCAGATCATGGTTTGGGGATCACTGGTAGTGTTTGCGATTGGGGTTTTGGGGATTGGTGGACTGGGTTTAGGGGATTAGAGGTTGGGAGACTGGGTTTAGGAGACTGGGATTGAGGTTAGGATTGAATTGGGGAGTGGTGTTAGGATTTAGGACTGAATTTTGGGGTTTGAGAAATTGTGATTGAGGTTGGGATTAGGGTAAAGTTTGGGTTTAGGGTTGGGATCAGGGATTGGTGTTAGAGTTTAGGGTTGGTGTTAGGGTTTGGTTGTTGGAGTTGCAGTTATTGCAAAAATCTTGATCCTTCTGTGATCTTAGAGTGATCTAGAGTGATGTTTTCATTGCTTTTTCATGACTTTTAAGAAATACTCAAGCTCCTGTTTGTTAAAAGCGTATCAATACATAGCTAGGAACAAGTCAACATCTCAGAACTAACAAACATGCTGTATTTATATGTAATTACATAGTTTACACTGGCTTTGTAAAGAATTTGACATATTTATCTAAATTCTATGGTTCAACAAGAAATGTCACTACTCTTAGAAAATGACAATAAATAATTAAATCGCCAAAATAAAAGCTAGATCTACAATTTTAAACCTGTATCTGTTTTGGCACTGAAATAATATGACGGCTTTATGGCTACTCTATCACTGCAGAGCTTCAGAGTTAAAAGCATGAGTATGTTCTTCCTTGAGTCTTCCAGTCTTGAGCGACTTCAGTCATTTCAGCTAGGTCAGCATTTCAGCACTTCATGTCTCAGTGAAGCCTTTCAACTGCTTCCCACTAACTATAGAGCTTTATATTAAGTTCAAATCAAACAGTGCTGTGTTCATTCATGCATATACTGCCTCTGATAAGTGAGGAACCCACTGGAGCTGGAGATAGTATTAATTAGAATACAGAGCCTCATTTTTGTCACAAGTAGGACACATCAAACACATCTCGCATCCCTCAGCAAATTCCCCTTCCAGTCTAATGTCCCTCACTGATCATCCAGCAAAAGGCACTATCCTATGTCCTCACATGAGTCTTCTGTTTTGTTTTTTTTTGCCTCTTTCATATTTCCAAAAAGCTTTGCTGTGGTAGAAAAATGAGGTAAAAACATTAATAGTGAGAGAATAAGAATGATAGTAATCTTTACAGGTGTTTTATCATTATTACCCACCAAAGCATTTACTTTGGTTTGTCGCCCGATCCACAAACACTTTGGAGGAGATGACATTACCGAAAGGCAGGAACATCTGCATCAGCTCGCCATCCCCAAACTCCTGAGGGAGGTGGTAGATGAACAGGTTACAACCCTCTGGCCCTAGATATACAGAGAGAGAGAGAGACAGAGAGAGAGAGAGAGAGAGAGAGAGACAGACAGAGAGAGAGAGAGAGAGAGAGAGAGAGAGCATAAAGAGATGGGAGGGCAGAAAAGACATAAAGGCAGAAATTAGACTAAATCTCACTGTAATACAGAAGCTTTCTAGCTTGAAGTGACCACAGTGTAGCCACAGAAAATGTCCTGTGGTCACTGTAAGACCAGTGAGTTTGGCACAGAGATACACGTTCTGCTACCTCGTGAAGAATATTAGCACAGAATTCCTAAAAAAATATCTAATCCCAGAATTTCCCCAATTACAGGAAGAAAAGGAAATTGTGATCAAATACTGGACCTCCCTAAATAGCAAGAGGATAGTGGGCCACTGTTGGCCCGCTGGTGGTCCACAGTGTTTTGCTCAGTGTTTTCTGGGCGGTCCACCGGTGGTTAAGCAGAGTATGAGACAAAATTCCACTTATTATCGCTCATTTTCCAATTTACTTATTTTTCCTTCCTTCCTGTCTTTAGTTATACTTAGTTATACTAGTTTTGTAAATAATTTTAATCTAGCCCAGCATCAGCAACAACATTTTCCATAAAATCGTTTTAAATTAGACCTAGTCTTTATTTTTTTCTTTCAGTTGTTTTGTAATATTTGTCTTAGTTTATTTTCCAAAATAAAAGATGCTGTGCATTTAAAATCTGTTTCAGGAGAAAAAAAAAACTAGTTCGAGTTTTTATGCAGGACAGTAATCTGGGTGGTCCGAGGATGGACCAGCAGTGGCAAACAGTCAGCGGGGTGCCAACCTTATCCATCATGCTTGCTATCTGGGCTATTGCAGCATTTATAAGCCGAGAGACAGTGAATAAGATTGGGTCTCAATTTAACTTGCCTAAAACATCATACATAATATTTGATCATTCATTTTTTGAGTATTAAGCTGTTATTAAACCAATACTGAGGTGATTGCTGATGATGCACAAATGTAAATACTACAAATTCAGTTTGCATTATTGTTATTATTAATGCCACTAGTATAATTTTTGCTGTCATCATCAGTTGCCATAGCAACACTGTTTAGAAGCCGTCATTCCAATAGCGCAAGAACTAAAACTGATCAGCAGCAACTTTACTCATCAGTTCTTTGAATGCACCAAAGCACATTAGAGGAGCTCAGTTCATGTCCATCAGAACTGTTATCGGGGACAAACTTCCTTTCCCATCTGTGAGATTAAACTGGGTTGATATTTTGAACCGAAAAAGTGATTAATGCCATAAGATTTTACATAAACCAATTTTTTTTTTATTTTATGTTACTGTGGCAGCCACTGGAGGGAGGCAAAGTCACAAGCACCTAGATAATTGTGTGGCATCAAAAACCTGGTTGATGCCCAGTCATTAAACCATTACCCCTAGATTATGTGCAGTGCATAAGCTTAGTGCAAGGCTTAATTCAAAGCCACTGTTACTGTAATGTTGCAGTGTACAAATACAAATAGTATATTCTGTTGAAACTGTGCTGTAGTCTGATTCAGTCTGACTGAAAAGACTGTGATCTTTTAAAGACCAGTTATAAATAACTCACACTTCAGTGTCTAATGGGCAGATTAGCCAATAGAATGTATTGAAATGACATGTTAAGACTGAGAGTTGTCCTGGCAGTAACTGTGGAGTCAGTAACAGACGCAGCCTCACCTTCTCTCTGCTGCTGGGGTATAATGGGAGGAGGCTGTGGAAAGGCCTGGCTGATCTGTCCATATGCAGCTGGGTAGGCTGCTGAGACACACACATATGCCAGTGTGTCAGAATATACATTTAAACATGCACACACAGGGGTCTGTTTTTATACAAAGTCAGGACACAGAGTCATATATTGGAGCACTCTGAACAAAACCTTATATCTCCATTTTTGTATTTTTTTTAATAAATTGAAAATGCCAGTTGCAATTTACACTGTCAAAATTACATGAATTGACCAATAGAAATGGTCCAAAATGACTTAATAATATCAAGTTAGGAATATTTCGTTCTCCTGTAAAGACATACAAGGTTTTGTTCTAGTGACAATATAAACCCCATATGTATTATGTGTATGTATGACCCTATAATATATGTACAGCGCTGTACTAAAGTCAGAGATTTTCATTCATTAAATTTCCAGTCAAAATGGCCATTAATTACAAGTTATTCATTATTATCCACTTGCATAAACAAGAGGAAAGTCAAACGTCAAAAAATTATTCAAAGATACAGAGAAAATGGGACTCCTAACTACCATGCAAGACCAACAACTGTCCCTGTCAGATAAACATCATTTAAAGGTTTTGTCTCAGAGAGAGAAGATAATCAAGCTCCACTCTTGCCATTATTGAGAAAAGGAGCGAAGAAAATGTACACTAGATTACGAAAACTGGACATCTGAGATGTGGACTGAGGCTTTATGGACGGATGAGTCTAAATTTGTAATTAGAATTAGTTAAAACAGAAAACGCAACCATATTCTAAGATTGAACTAAACTTCTATAATTGAATTGAATTACTGTCTCAATTCATGCCTCAATCACTGTAAATATCTAAGATCTGAATACGTAATTGTTTTTTTTAAACACCACCCCCTCATCAAATTACATGCTTTGTTGATTTTCTAACTGAAAATAAGTTAACGCATCCTTTTTATGCAAATTTCATGCAAAAGTTTAACATTTTGAAAAAAATAAAAATATAAAAAATAAAAATAAATAATTATATAAAATTCTTATATACAATTATTTATGTTCAAATACGTAAATTGTGCCATAACCTTTGTACAGGCCACATTTTCTGTGTGAATTTTTCCCCATTCCCTCTCTCTCTCTCAGAAGCCTAACTCTATAACTAACCCTAACCTTAATCACGATACCTAAAAGAAATGCATTTGCTTTTTAGGTTAAAAAAACAAAACAAAAAAAAAAAAAACATCTTTACAAAGTCAGTATTGTGTTGGTCCTGTAGGTTAGTCCTGATTTTCTCTGCTTTTTCTACAAAGTCAGGATACGTTTGTCCTGAAAATGTACAAAAACAAACACTGTCATCACACTCACTGCTCAGACATACTGCAGTACATATAAACTCAACGACTACTGCAAACTGAGCGTAAGCATGCATGCACACACCCACACAGCACATAAAACTATCTGAGTGACAGACCTGCATACTGCTGGACTCCTGCATAAGCCTGCTGTAGAGGATCAGCTGCTGTAGGACTCTGGGCTAGAGAGAAAGACAGAACGAGACAGAGAGAGAGACAGAGGTAATAGACAGGTCAGAAAGTGAAAGGCACTTTGTGGAGAGAGCGCTGGCTGCATTTGTGTGGGCATGAAGCTCAGAGTCAGTGAGTTCATCTCTCTCTCTCTGCCTCTCTCTCTCTCTCCTCTTTTCCCCTACCCTCGCACCATCCTCCCCAAACAATTAAGCCGTGGGACAGGGCCCAAGCCCTGCCAAAAGTTTCCACAGTGCTGGATCGGCAGCCAGAGAGAGTGCACGGAGAACAATATAGATCTACACCTCCACACTCCACATCAATCAGCCCTGAGCTGCTGCTGTAATAAACGCCGGCCGCTCCTGCTGCACCGCTATATCACTCCTCATTCGGCTCAGTACAACGCGGCTCTTACAGCCTAAACACTGTAGACTGCAATATCCTCTCCTATCCACTTTTAGGTGGAGCTCATTTGGCGGATTTAAAGACGGGTGAGCTGTCAGTGACACGTCACATCAAAGGCATGGTTACGCAGAGTGCTGTAGTGATGTCACAGTGAGAACAGTTCTAGCTATCACAGCCACAAAAAAGAACCACAGTGCTTTGCATGCATATAAGTAGGGCTGTAACGATTACTCAATTAAACTCAATTAAAAAAATATTGATTAAATTTTACCCTCTTGACAAATTGGCAGTGATTAGTTGCCATTTTGCATGATAATGCATACTTTAAATTCTTACACTGGTCTCTCTTTTACAGTAAGGAGCAGAGTCTGATGAGCACTCCTGTTTATATGCATTTTTCTCATATTTTACTGTTTCTATTTGCATATGTTCATGTGCCAGAATCAGAATTCATTTTTTTTTTATTTACAATAACACTATATGACCAAAAGTATCAACTCTCCTAATTATTGAGTTCAGGTGTTTCAGCCACACCCAGTGCTAATAGGTGTGTAATGGAAGAATGGCAGTCTAATGGATGAACTTGGGCTTTGTGGATGCCAGGAGAACTACACATCGGAATGCATAGTGCCAACAGTAAAGTTTGGTGGAGGAGGGATAATGGGGCTGGGGCCGTTTTTAGGGTTTGGGCCCCTTAGTTCCAGTGAAGGCTAATGTTAATGCTACAGCATACAAAGACATTTTAGATAATTATATGCTTATAACTTTGTGGCAACTGTTTGAGGAAGGCCTTCCTGCATGACTGTGCCCCTGTGCACAAGGCGAGGTCTATAAATAAGGTTTGACAAGTTTGGTGTGGAGGAACTCCAGTGGCCTGCACAGAGCCCTGACCTCAACCCCAGTGAACACCTTTGGGGTGATTTGAAGAGTTGATTGTGAACCAGGCCTTCTCGTTCAACATCAAGTCTTCATAAATGCTCATTTGACTGAATGAGCACAAATTCCAACAGACACACTCCAAAAACTTGTGGAAAAACTCAGGTGCGGTCAACTCCATATTATTGTCCATGGTTTTGGAATAGCATGTCCACCAAGCTCATATAGGTGTGACAGCTAGGTGTCCACATACTTTTGGCCATACAGTGTATATGTAAATGACCTCTGTTCTGATCAGGTATTCTGTGTTATGCCTCATACAGAAAGGCAGAACCACTTTTTATAACTTCAGCATTAATGGATGGGGCTAAACTGCTGTAGGCTGAATAGGTAGAATATGTAAATGCGTCAATGTGACAGCAGAATAATGACTTCAAAACAGTCCATGTTTGCAGCTTAATTTCTCTATATGGATTCTATGGACTGTGGGAGAGAATTAGATTTTGAAACTAACAGTGTTAACTTATTACATTGACCTCTTTAATTTAAAAAAGCAAAGAAAAATTTTCCATTATGTAGGCAATTTAAAAGGCTAAACACAAAAGGCTAAGCTCAATTTCATTCTGATTACTCAGTTCACGAATGATTACTGTTTACATGATTAATCGTCAAAAAGAATTGACAACTTATTTGAACTTGACAGCCCTACATATAAGCATTGACCACACAGCAACACAACAAACGTTATTCAATTACAACACCAACACAAAACCCAGACACAAAATAAAGTCACTTTTTATTGTGTTCCTCCTTCCATAAACCCCCCACAGCCCAATACATACAAACACCATATTCACACAACACGACAGCACACTACACAGAACAGAACGTGAGCTGAGATGGACACCAACAGCTGATAATTCAATACCTTCAGAGAGAGAAGAGAGGAAGCAGCTTCCCTGAACCCCAAAACAACTCCGCTGAGCCACGCCCAAGCCGCCCTTCTCCGAGTCTTCCCTAAAAACCACCTCCTGCAGGACTGAGACACAGCCAGGAAACATACACATTTGCTTTTCTCTGCAGCACCGAGTCGGGGGGCAAGAAAGACCACCAGCCTCAGTAACGCACAACACACACTGTGAGACTGATTATAGCTTACAGCACTACAATCATACTGTCTGAACTACTTAGCTTTAAGAAAGCACGACTTTGAGGTCTTCTACAAAATAAGAGAACAAAATTACATCGCATGAAAAAATAAACTGGAGTGATTTAGAACCAGAAAAATCAAACGAATTTAATGAATGTGTAGATAATGACTCCAGATAAACTGAGGTTTTTCTCATTTTAATTGGTATTAGTATTAAAGTGAAAAAAAAATACAAAAAAAATGTTGATCAAAAACAAAAACATGGTACCAGTCAAAAGTCTGGACATGTTTTTATCATTTTAAATATAATTTGACACTTTGAAGCTTCAAAGACAATTTTAATCTTTCAAACTGATGCCTATATGTGAGTTTATCTTCAAATCAAACAAAGAACTCCAAATAGTTACAAACAATATTTTCTAACCTTTTCATGAATACCAGTTTTGATTCTCAAATTGTCATGAAAAATTGTGGTAATTCATTTCAACCAATCAGCTTTGCTGTGATGAGGGAGGGCAGAATTTAAATAGACCTAATATTTGGAAGGCCAGCATTTCTGACTGGAGCAATTCCTTATTGTTTTAAATGAAAACCAGTTCAATGAGTAGATGTGTCCAAACTTTTGACTGCCACTGTACATTTTATTATTTGCTCTCCTTTCTAACGTATCAAAAGCACAATATTCTCTGTGTAATTGTTCCCTGAACTATATCGTCACTGTCCAAAGACCATTTATCTCCATTTTTGTCTATTTTTATTTTTCTGCATTATTTCAACTCACCAGTTGTCCTTTACATTATGTGAAAATTTCATAATGAATGAACCAATAGAAATGCTCTAAAACCACCTGGAATAAAACCTCTTTACATTAACTTACAGTGAAAGGTAAAAGAGTTTTTGCCTTCTCCTGTTGAGTTACCATTTTGGAGACACTTGTTTTTCTTTGAACAGCAACGATATGTAGTATTACATGTAATACATGTAATACGGAAATGCACTGAATTACGTCTAGAATAAAAAGAAATACTTATTGTTCTTAGTCAATAATAAAGGTAAATGTATGTGTAAAGTTATAACTGTAATCTCATTAAAGCAGAATTCTATAGACTTTAAAATAATTCAGTCACTGATATGTAAACAATGTCATTGAGAGAGGTTTGATGTGAAATGGTTAATTGTAGAGAAAATCACTGAGGCAGATTTCTTTACAGTGGTGGTAACAGGAACCAGGGGTCATGATGTTTACGACACAAATATAGTTATTTTATTTACTATCTGAAACCACCGGTGTACTAATGTGCATTTTGAGGTTTCTATGTTATGCTGATGATAGTAAAATAGTGGTACTTTGGAAAAAATATGTTTTCTTTGGCTAATATTTTGCCTTATAACTCCTTGTAGGTACCTCTCCACCATGGATAAATTTCAAAAATACATTATAGGCCAAATATTTATATCAAAATTACCATGAAACAATGTCTCAGGCAGAATAACTATTTTATGTTATGACTTCCTGTGAGGGAGCTTTTAGAGGCATTAAACTCTTCAGACGACATTTATGACTTGGGGAGTTCTCTAGAAGGGAATATTTCATATCAAAACACTGAATGTTTTTAAACATTTTAACTTTGATGACTGGTGGAAATCTCCTAAAATGTGTTAATACCTCAGCTTATTAAACAAAATTTCACAGTGGAAAAACATGGCTATTCAAATTTGCTACATAAAAATGTTCATTCATCATGAAATGTTCACATGGTATAAACAGCAGGTCATGTTTTCAAATGATGTAATGGGGCAAACAAAAAAATGTATATATAGTTCTTTGTTATTGCTGTAATGATACACTGTAAAAAGTGTCTCGTCAGATCTACTTAAAAAATGTCTTCATGTGGTAACAAACAACTGAACTAGTTTTATTTAACTTAAAAAATACTTTGAAAGAATCGTTCATTCAAAGTATTTATTTAGGTTGAATAAAACTAGTTAATTTACTTGTTTCCACCTGAAGTCATTTTTTAAGTAGATCTGATGAGACACTTTTTACAGTGTATGAAATGTTTTCAGACGTGCATGGTGGAGAATGGTACCTGGGT